CGATAAAGTCATGTGACCGGAAAATTTTTTGTGGTATAATTACATAGGTTATTTTTTGTGGTATAATTACATAGGTTATAATTACATAGGTTGGTCATGGGAGTGCTGCACCGAAAATGCCAGATCTGCTATTTCTGCCATATCAGCCACTTCTTGCATAAGCAGCAGATATGGAAGAAACGGCATAAGAGGCGGATATGAGATAAATGTTGGTAATGCAAGTAATAGCATTAATGATAGATCAAACGTTTATGGCATAAATGTCATAATTTTAGTAGGCTTGCCAAGGCATTTTAGTAATAAATGTATTCTTTTAATAAAGGACACTCTTTATTTGATTCTAATAAAACTGCATACATGTACTCTTTCGAATTGCCAAAATCACATAACTATCTATAAACTCTCTCCCTAAATTATATACTTACAACTTTAACATATCACCGTACGGTTCTTGTGTCTCCGTACTCACGTGACTCCCTGTTATTAGTTGAACCGTTAACCTCGTTTCTGGGAGGTACACGCAGGTTAACACCCCCAAAAAAAGAGTTTTTTTCTCTAAAGATATTTTCAACTGGAATCTTTAAAATGGCTTCGTTTTCTGCTCTTGCTAGTGTATTTTTCACTTTTTAAATTTACATAAGTTTTAATACATCTCCGATGTCTAAAATCGGCACATCGGCCCTATTGATAATTATAATATACAGGCCAGTCGAGCCGTTTTTGCGTCTCTATAAGTTGGATTACATATGCACATTATTATGATAAGGCCAAATAGAACACGGTCGGCCGGCAAAAATGGTCTGTTTATAAATTCTGGAAAATTGCCGATGACCGAATCGATAAGTTTCTGAATTCAGCCGAGCCAGTTACTTATTGATTCCGATTCGGTAACTTATCGATTCGCTATAAAAATTTATTTACAGCTGTTTTGACATTTGAAAAATTTTTTGATGACCGACCGAGTCGGAATCAATAAGTTATTGACTTCGGCCGACATCAAAAGCTTATCGATTCTGTCTCAACAATTTTCAAATATCCGCTGTAATATAAAAAAAATTTTTTCGTACGTACGTACAAGAATAATTTTTTTAGGTAACGAAAAACAATGGCCTAACTAAAATTATGCAATCTGCGCTATGCCGATTACGTGACACCTTAACTTTTATCCTTCCCACATGTGACCTTGTATAAAATGAATATCGATATCATCCACCAATTTATTAAGTTCGCTCAATAAAATTAAATAGTAACAATGGTACTCTCGATCGGACAGATCCTTTATGTAATAATACTTATAATAAACGCTATGGCTGTTTTGAATGAAGATAGGTTTCTTGCTCGAAGTAAATGCTCTTTTTTATTTTTTATTTTTTATTTTATTTTTTTTGTGATGTTTTGCAGAGATTGAACCCATTTACTTATCCTTAAATTTATAATCAAAGTTGGAATGAGTAATCAATCTGAAACAGGATTTGGCGGAGATGGACCATCACTTAAGTCAAATATTATAAACCTTATATCTGCTGTTCGAACACTAATGAGAAGTAAGTAAATACGGAAAGAATTAGATTATTTAGGTCAATTTGGCTGATCATAATTTTCTTTTCATCAAGTTCCATTAATAGTCGTGAACATTCTGGTGATAATTTATGAAATATTGCTCGGATAAAGGTGTCAACCTAAGGTGTGTGTTACATATATGCATATAAGGTGGCAAAGGGTATTTTAACGAAGTTAAAATAGTCTATTTTTTGAATGAAAAAATTTTTATATCCATTTATCATAAAACCTTGGAATAAATTCGACTATGAAATAGTGATGATCAAGGACGGAATTTAAGAGCGATGGTGGTATTTGAGAATTGAGGCTAGATCAACAATTTTTATACTATTCTATTTCAAATCCAACCATTGATCCACGGGATGGGTGAACATTGTGACGAACTGAAATACATAAATTCGTCAAAATATCTCTATTCACTCCTTATATGTATATATAGAATATTATTAAAATATACTAAGAAAAACAATCGTCTCTTATAATAATCACGCCTTTATATATTATTTAGGATTATAGAAAGAAATTATAATAAATATGATTTTATTTATTTTGGGGGTTTTATCAACTGTCGATTCGAACTTGAAGCTTTTTTAATTATGAATTATTCGTTATGTTGATAAAACTTAAATGTTATTATTCGTTTCCAGCTGTGGCAGAGCTCTGTATCCCATCAACTAATTCATTATCAACTTCCTTCATCCTGGTAATGCTATTAACATAAACTTCTGCATCCTTTAACAACTTCACCATATTCATTTTACCCAAAGTTTTGTTCCTGGCTGCTTTGTACCCCTGGTCCATAACAACAACATTCTCTTCCGTCTCTCTTTTTTTATAAAAATCTTCAAAAATCTTTCTTAGATTGTTATCCCTCAACACAGCTCCACGTTGAAGATCCGTTGCTTTAATACAATGTATTATGATTTCTTGATTTCTTTTAATTTCTTGTATCATCTCCATATCTGATCTTTCATCTGCTTTATTAAAGAGAAGTACTGCAAGAGATAATCCTGCAAATGCCATTCTTCTATAATAATCTGTGTTGTTATACAAAAATTCTATAACACCTTGTGCCGCGTTTTTTCTAATGTCCGTTGTTAATAAAGTGTAGAGTTCAGTAAATCCACATCCAATAAGAAATATTACTCCATAAATCCTCCAATGTGATTTACGTTTAGTCATAGTAGAAATTCCAAGTACCGTAAGCATCATAACATAAGACCAAACCATGTTAGGAACAATAAACATGGAATAATCTGTAACGCTTTTACAATAATTACATTCAAGTAAAGCTTCTTGTCCGTAAGCTGCATAGATCAGCCGGTTTTCAAGAGATGAAAGTTTCTCTAGCAGAAGGTTATCTGTGGGCGTTAACTGTGAATTTTTTGTCAAAAGGAATGTACGTATAATACTGGGTGAAGCGCTAGGTGAAATATTACCCGATTTAAAAATATTAGGAGGTGGTGACCAGATAGCATAATAAATCTGAATCAAAATCGTAAATGCCAAAAGATATATAATTAAAAGATCAAATATTGTTCTTTGTCTTTTTGAATTGTTGTGATTCAGTTCACGCTTTCTCATGTATTCCCGACCTTTGTCAATAAGGAAAGGTAGAGATATGAATATTAATAATTGAATTAGTTGTGAATTAATCATTTTTTGAAAATTGAAAACCCGAGTCTCTGACTGCAAGATTATATATAGATAATTTTGGAACTTGTAATACTCAGTTAAATTACTTATGATATAGGATAACTTTCTCGTGATTGGTCAATCAATGAAAATTAAAATGTATTTTTGCGATGGTTATATTAGAAACAGAGTTGATCTTTTATTTTATTTATTTTGGAGTTTCGTTTTGATAGTGAAAGAAGTGTTTCGCAGAACCGACCCGGAGTCGATCCCCGGTTCGGTTCCGGGTCCATCATTTTTAGAATAATTCGGTTCCGGGTCTCGAATCTATACTATAGTCTTTAAAACGGGTATATAAAAGAATTCTATAAAAGAGTAGTCTTGACGTATTGTTTGTTAACCTTTTTTTTCTTTCAACTATACCACGCCACATCTAATAAAAAAAAGTGTGGATTAACTTTTTTATAAGAATCTCTTGTGAATTAACTAATATAAATGTAAATTAAATAAACTTGATTAATAAGATTTGTAACATTTGTAATATTTTAAATTTGAAAACCAATTAATTTTTTTTTTATGTAAGTTGTTATGTTAGTCTCATTTACACTATTATTACCATTATAGGAGTTTGAAAATAATGTAATAATATTTTTAAATAAAACTGGGGCTATATAGCCAATATATATATATATATATATTTAGCTCTTTGATAGTCTTGCTGGAGCTCAAATACAAGAAACTTTATTTAATTAGTAATAGTGAACAATTTTGAACATACAGGTGCTTCTTTCTAACTAAACAAGCTTTTACTCAAAATTACAAGCCTAGTATCTCATAGCTGTAATAAAACATGCCTATTAGTAATCTATTACACCAACTTGTCACTGGTTGAAATTTGTAAAAATAGCATATATTTGGCACATCATTTGTATACAAATCGATAATAATTCGTTAAACATTTGGCAGAAATCGGGTGCCAACCTGCTATTTATGCTAAGTGGTGCCCGATTTCTGCTATTCGGCTACCAAATATTTAACAAATTATTATCGATTTGTGTATGAATAGTGTGCCAAATATATGCCATTTTTACAAATTTCAACCAGTGTGTATACAAGTTAGATAAACTTTATTAGCTTATCAAAAGCTAATCTTTTTAACTTTTTTTTACTAAGAGTAAAAGAAAACAATAATTTCATATCAACAATACAAAACTACCTATTACCAAAAAAAACAAAGAAACTATGTTTTAAAAAAAAACAAAATAAACAAAAAAGATAATTTAAAGAAAAACAAAAGAAAGAACAAGAAAATGCAAAAAAAAAAAAACAAAGAAAAAAGCCTAAAAGCTGATAAAGAAAAAAACTACCTCTATCAAAAAGTAGTAAGCAACCCAAAAATTGTGATAAAAAAAAACTAGGAAGTACATTATTATAACCCATACTAGGTTTAAGTAAAAATTATATAACAAATTTAACAATTGATTATCACTAATATAAAGCAATTCTTTAATATATATATTATTTAACTATTAACCAACTTTAAATATTTCTTTAACTAGAGATCTTAATTCAAGTCACATGAAATAGCATCATATCTACAAGTAAACAAGATATGTAGCTATATTCTACTAAGTTTGTTTAAATTTGAAATATAAACAATGTTGATCTTTTGAAAAGGGTAAACCAAATTTTTACTTTTTGCCAAAAATTTTTGAAAAACTAGCAAATAAACAAGAGAAGACTGTAAGAAGAAGCCGTTTATACTAGAAAAAAAGAAAACAGATATATTTTTAAAAAGATCCAGACAATTAATAAACCTTCTTTTAGAAAAAGAGTAAAGCTGCTATACTTGCTTTTCAGTAAGTAGTAAACTCTGAACTATTAGCAAGTAGCATATAAGAACTACTTTTAAACAACAAGTGCTATATATGCAATAAACTTTGAAGCTGTTAGCAAGTAATATATAAGAACTATCTCTAAATAACAAATGCTATCTTATAGTTTCTAGTCTTACATCTTTTGTTTTTTACTATAAGCTATTGTGTTTTTACAAAAATATGTTTAGATTTTTTAGTACAAGTAATTGTTCTATATAGCTAATATATACTTTAGAATTAGAACTTGTTATTATAACAAATAATATAGGCTGCTATTAATAGAAATAAGGTGAATTAATTTAAAAAAAATTAATACCTTAACTTTCACAGCTTATATCTTAATAAACTTTGAGGCTATCTTGATGATTTGGTATTTAAAAGAAAGCTTAGATCATAAGCTTTTTTTTAACTATCAAATAATTAAGATAGTTTTAAAATCTATCAAGATATAAGCTGTGAAAGTTAAGGCATTGATTTTTTTTAAAATATCAATCTGCCTTATTTCTATTAATAGCAGCCTATATATTATTTGTATATAGATATTTTGAGAAGCAAAAGCTAAAAAATGGTAAAAATAAAAATTTATTAAAGAATGAAATGAAGGTGTGGTAATATAGTAAAGTGGTGGAGTTGTTGCACCCCAAGTTAGTTTGACTATCTCTTAATTGGTAGAGATTTGCAGACAAATTTGCCTGCATAATTACTATAAATATATCTCTGATCTACTTTTTTAATTA